ACTCAGTCACACGTGGTGCAGCAGGTCCTTCAGCGCTTCGGCTTTCAGTTCTCCTCGCCACAGCCCACTCCTCTGCCTGCAGGCCACTCACTCTCAGCTCCACCTTCGGACGAGCCCGTAGAGCCGAGTGGTCGGTATCCAGAGCTTGTGGGTTGGATCATGTACCTGATGACGTGCACACTACCTAACCTCGCGTACCCTCTCAGCCTCCTGGCTCGCTACGTGGCTCCTGGTAGACACCGAAAGGTGCACTGGGATGCTGCGAAGAGGGTACTGCGTTACTTGTGCAGTACATCGGGCATGGGGCTTGTGCTTCGAGGACGGGAGTCAGTGGTACTCACAGATCACTCAGACGCTTCCTGGGCCGACGTCCAGGCGACTTACCGGTCGTCACAGGGTTACACCTTCAGTCTTGGCTCTGGTTCTGTCTTGTGGAGGTCTACTCGTTTGTCTTCTGTGCTTGGTTCCAAATGTGAGGCCGAGATCTATGCTGGGGCCATGGCTGCACAGGAGCTACGTAGGATGACCTACCTGCTGTCCGACTTGGGGGAGCTGCCTCGTTCTCCTCCAGTTCTGTACGTTGACAACAAGGCCATGCTTGCCTTGTGTCGCGAGCAGAGACTGGAGCACAGAACGAAGCACATTGCTCTTCGCTACTTTCTTGCTCGAGAGTTGCAGCAGCGTCGTCAGCTTTGCCTTTCCTACATGGCCTCTCGGGCCAACACTGCTGATCTCTTCGTTAAGGCCCCCGGGTCTGGTGATCATAAGCGCTTTTGAACTGCTCGTGGGCTTCTGCCCACTCTGCCTCACCTGCTTGTCTCTTGAACTTGCAATTGTTGTACACTTATATATATCTTAATACCTGCATCTTTCCTCTTGCTAGGTTGTGATCAGTGTACTGCCTTGCTATTATAACTATGCATGTGAACTGGCCTTGTGGCCACTTGCTTGTGCTCAGAATGCGTGGTGATCTTGAGATCCACCCTGAGCTTTGCATTGCTTTGTTCTCTTGCCTGACTGGTCTTGTGACCGTTTGTTGTGTTGGCTATCCCTCACATTGCCTATGGGGGTGTATCAAACCATCTGTTTGTTAGCCTGCAGGCTACAGTGAGGTTCACTCTAGAGGGAATAACCCAATTAGGGTTTCCTACTTGTATCCAACTGCGGCCTAGTTCATTCACTCCTGCACAGATACTTCTGACACCTTTAACCCCAACAGGCCATATTCGTCAGGTGCAAGGCAAAGGTCAGCACCATCATAGCAGTGAGCAGGGACCACTGCCTTTCAGCAGTTGCCTCCCAGCTTTCACCATCTTTGCATCCAGCAACATGGGAAGAAGTTCCAGTCGCTGGACAAGATCCCGCCACTTGGCAAAAGAAGATTCACTCGCATGGATGCTGCTGAGCAACATCCTGCTGCCGCTGCTGCGCAAGAGTGGTGCCATATTCCCTTCAGTTCTTATCCATGGATGCATATGCCATGTCAACATTTGGCATGACACCCAACATCTTTCCTTCAAAGTTGCAATAGCTGGTTGTTGGCTTGGCTCCACTATTTGGAATGAAATTGTTTGTGTTGTGTTCCAAGGTTGTCCCATGAACCTCACCCACCCTTTGGCCCTCATATCCCACCAGCACATCACCGTCATCTTTTGCCGAGTAGTATAATTTCAAAACAAAGGTACTGTACATGGATGTTCATGAGCATCCAGCTGTCGATGGCTAAGGTACAATAGTATGTTTATACCACAGGGTATATTTTCCACCTTCATTCACGTCAAATCCTGCTTCACTGCACTACACAATACACCTTTGTCGGAATCCTTTCCCCTTCGCCCTTTGATCCTGGCTCACATAAGACTCTCGTATTGTCCCTTCTCTCATGGCCCACTTTTGCTTCTCCTGTTCTGCTACGTCCCCTGCCTCACGTGCACATTTTGCCGATTTCACCCCACTCTCTCCTTGCCCTTGCCTTTGTTGTGCTTCTGTTCTAACCCTTCCAAGTTCTAACCCTTCCTACGCCACTCTGACTGCTGTTGTGGCTTCGCTTGGTGTTGATAATCTTAAGAAAACAAACCACAGTAATTCGCAAAAAACACACAAGCAGTGGCAATCCCATGGCTCGGGATCAACCCTTATGCCTTTTACTTCCTACCCTAAGCTAATAAACTACATTCAACGAATGCTATTACCGTAATCTCCCGGACAAAACACCCCCCAAAATTGTACAACCCCCGGGTAGCTTGTGCGGGGTGGGTGCTATAGGTGACCTCGTTTGTACTATACCCCCCCTTTTGGGTGATTTTTTATAACACCCCCCTTTGCTTACACATTCCTTATTATAGCAGTTAACAAGTAGGTGCAATACGGGAGGATATCGCGAGAATCACTCCCTCGATGAAATTTCGCGGTTCTTTCACTTCAGATCTGCCAAGATTTCCCCCCTCCCACTATTTCGCTGTCGCCACGCGCTGGTGAATCTTCCGCTGCAAGTGGCCAGAGAGGTGCCACATGGCATTTTCGAGGGGGTGATGACGTTCGTGTCGAAACTCACATTCGCGCCTCAACCTGTTGCACAAGGTTAGTAATCTTGATGGCAGGGCACTTGGGCTGGTGAGGACTTTCTAGCACTGGTGTCTTCGTTTCTGATTGTAGTTGTGCTCGTCCCAATTGCAGCACTAGGTTCTTCAAGGTTAGTATTGGGACTAGGCTGGATCTGTACAGAGTGTCTCAGGGCAACACCTAGGTTCTCAAGATTAGTAATCTTGATGCCCGCGGTCTGCAACTTGGGACTCGGGCTTTGAAACTACCATGAAAATACTCAAGTTGTCTACTTGAAAAACATCTTACACTAAAATATACCATATATATCCACCCGGGTATTATGTAGATTTTTCCTATGAGGAGACCCCCCCCCCCCATTTTTTCCCTGTATTTTTAGCTTTACCCTAGGGTGTTATGTCCGGGAAAATACGGTAACATAGCTTGCCACCCAAATCTCCTGCCTGCCTCCTCCAGCTGGCGGCAATGACTTCCAGCTCTCCCGGACTCGGTGTCTGCAAAAGGGAAACGAAAACAAGCACATGCACACCGCCCAAACATTCCTTTCGCCGCCCCTGTCCGCTCTTCACTGCTTGTTCAGTTACCACCCCACCTGCCTCGCCCATCTTCGCCGACCCTTGCTGTCTTGCTCCCCACAGCACACCCCCAACTGCCAGGGTTCCCCGCCCTAGCTTCCGACTGACCACCCCATCCACGTCTTTCACTCCTTCGTTTATATACAAAGGTACAAACACTCCCTTTTCGCTCGCTCCACTACCCTCTGTCACAACGACTTAGGAAAACACCTTAGAATTCTGACACCTTGCATAGTTTTGGTAAATCTTGAACAAGTTTTTCTTTAACTCTGCTCTGTACAGGACACATACAGTGCCTGGCATGGTTCCATCTGACACAAAAAGAAATTGTTCCAACAGAATGGGGGGGGGAATGGGGATCAGACAAAGAGATGTGCCAAAGCAACCACTCCACCGAATACACTTGGACCGAGCCACAGTGCTACAAGCAAGCACAGCTGTTGGGCTGCCAACGCGTGGCAAAGGCATGGAAAGGCATGGGTGGTATGGAAAGGCATGGGTGGTATGGAAAGGCATGGGTGGCATGGAAAGGCATGGGTGGTATGAAAAGGCATGGGTGGGATGAAAAGGCATGGGCGGGATGGAAAGGCATGGGTGGGGTGAAAAGGCCTTTGTGGGACGAAAAGGCATGGGTGGGATGAAAAGGCATGGGTGGGATGGAAATGCATGGGTGGGATGGATAGGAATGGGTGGGTGAAAAGGCATGGGTGGGATGAAAAGGCATGGGTGGGATGGAAAGGCATGGGTAGATTGAGAAGGCATGGGTGGAATGAAAAGGCATGGGAGGGAAAAAAGGGAATGGGTGGGATGGAAAGGCATGGGTAGGTTGAGAAGGCATGGGTGGAATGAAAAGGCATGGGTGGGATGAAATGTCATGCGTGGGATGAAAAGGCATTGGTGGGATGAAACGGCATTGGTGCGATGAAAAGGTATGGGTGGGATGAAAAGTCATGGGTGCGGGGTATAAGGAGTGGGGGATATGAGGAGTGGGTGGGGGGTATAAGAGGAGAGGGGCGTGAGGGAAATGAGGGGTGTGAGGGGAGTGGGGGACAAATAAAGAATGGGGGGTATGAGAGGGATTGGGGGAACAAGAGAAGTGGGGGGTATGGGAGGAGTGAGGGGGTATGAATTTAGAGGGGGGTATGAGAGGAGTGGAGTTTAGGGGAAAACTGGGGGGTATGAGAGGAGTGGGGATTATGAGTGGGGTGTATGAGAGGAGTGGGGGGCATGAGGAGAGTGGGGTGCATGAGAAAAATGGGGGGCATGAGAAATATGGGGGATATAAGAGGAGTAAGGGGTATGAGAGGAGTGGAGTGGGGGATATGAGGATTGGGGGTATGAGAGGAGTTCTGGGAGAGGAGTGGGGAATATCAGAGGAGTGTGGGATATGAGAGGAGTGGGGGTGTACGAGAGAAATGGGGAGGATGAGAGGATTGGTTGTGTTGAATTTGTTTCAACTGTTTTCATAATCTGGATGAGAGCATATTAAACTGTTTCAACTGTTGGATCGGGCATTGGGAATATTCAGGTTCTCCAGACCTAGAGGAACCATTCAACCCATGAGGTTAAGAAGGATGCTGCTAGAAAGGCATTCGCATAAAGCGGTGAAGGAGGGGAGGGGGAGGGCGGTATGAAGCAAGATTGCGACGAGGGTATTGGGGAATAGACAAAAAGTTTGAAAAAGTGCAACAAATATGCAATGGCTTTCATATGTGAGACTATCTCTCTGTTTACCTTCAGTTGATTACTAATAAAATGAGAGTCATGAAAGTTGTTTGATACACCGCCATTCAGGTATGCTAGATGGTGTGTATGTACGGTGTTGTGTATGCGTGTGAGGAGTGATGGCACAGTCGTGATGGTTTATGCATCCATCTGCCCCCACCCATCTGCCCCCACCCATCTGCCCCGACCCATCTGTCCCCACCCATCTGCCCCCACCCATCTGCCCCCACCCATCTGTCCCCACCCATCTGTCCCCACCCATCTGCCCCCACCCATTTGCACCCCCCACCCATATGCACCCCCCACACATCTGCACCCCCCACCCATCTGCACCCCCCACACATCTGCACCCCCACCCATCTGCACCCCCCACCCATCTGCACCCCCCACCCATCTGCACCCCCCACCCACGAGCACCATCCACCCTTCTCCTCACCATTCACCCCACCGCTCAACACATATCCAGCAAGAGGAGGGCAGGAGGGACTCACAGCGAGTGGCAGTGTCGTGGCAGCCCAGAGGCCAACAGGAGGAGATTTGGAGGCAGGGCGGGGAGAGGTGCCCGCCATAGAGACCCCAATGATGCACTGGAAGAGCTGGGAGGGGAGTGAGGTGAAGGTGTGCTGACCCACTTCTGACCCACAGGTGACCCATAATCAGCCCACATCTCTCACAACGCACCTCCTTCCACCGCTGGTCGCCTTGGGATACCCAGCAGCCTCGCCCAGTTTTGCCTGCAGCCTCTCCTGCATGTTCGCCACGGCAGCGGCTATATCTGAGTCACTTTTGAGACCTCTCAAAAATGTCCGCAGGATGTCACGGCAGGGAAGTCCACAGGGCAGAAGTCGGTGTGGAAGAAGCAGGTGCGGTACGGAGCTGGTAGTAAGTGGGGGGAGGGGGACGGAAGAGGGAAATGAGAGGCGAGGGAAGGTGGGGTGCAGCCTTGGCAAAGAGTGCACTCAGCTACCCGTGAAATGTGTGCCCGTGTTAAGGTGGCAGGCAAGGAGTGCCCAGTGCGTAGCTTCCCCGTGACGCCCATCCATGCGACAATCCAGAACTTGAAAACATTTCACAGCCTCAACAGCCGCAGGTTCCCCGTGAACAGTGCCCCCGTGTTGAAGGGGCGGAGGTCATTATTCATGGGCCAGAAGTCGGTGCAGGAGAAGCAGGTGCGGAGCTGGTGGGATGGCGGGGAAGTGTTGGAGGAGGCAAGAACAGAAGAGGAACGGACAGAGCGATGGTGAGAGCAGTGCGGCACCAACGGAGGGGCAGGGGAGGGGAGGGATAGTGCCTTGGCTCTTTGTGAAGAGTGCGCCTATGCTATGGGGGCGAGTGTGTGTAGGGGGGGGGGACGTCATTGGGGCAGACGTTGGTGTAGGAGTCGCAGAGCCTGCATGAGGTGGGGGGGAGGGGGAGGGGAGGAAAGCAGGACAAACAGGCAGCGCCATATGAGAAGCATGTGGGAGACCGTGATGTGGGGGGTGGTGCGAGTCCGTGCATTGGAAACGCAGGTGCAGAGCTCGGGGAAAAAGTGGGGAAAGGAGGGTAGCAGTGCCTTGATGAGAAGGATGCGGGTATGAGGGATGTGGGAGACAGTGTTGTGGGGGCGTGATTCTGTGAGCCTGTGGTGGAGAAGCAGGTGTGGAACTGACTGGGCGATAAGGGGGCGAACTGGGGAAGAGAGAGGAGAAGAAGGGGGTAGTCACTTGGTAGGAGTAAAGTGCTTGTGCATTAGGAACAGATACCAGGGAGTCACAATGCACAGATGCGAGATACACACATGCGGATACACACATGCGAGGCTGGATGGATGGCGGGGGGGGGGGGGGGGATGCGACTGGGGGCTGGGAGGGAGAAGGGATGTGGGAGTGGAGTATGTTGGAGGGGCGATGTGGGACACAATGGCTGCAATGCAACCACCTCTCCACTCACATGGTCTGCCCATTAGCTCCCTCCACTCACTCTCACAACAATCTCACACCCACTGAGCCACTCTCATGGACACCGACTGCCATCTTGGCGGTATCCATCTTTCCACCTGCCCTGTAATGCCAAGCCCCTTATAATAAAGTTTACAATGGTTACATAGATCCCAAGTACAAGGATAAACCCTATCTATGCCTCTAAGAGGGTCTTGGGTTGAAGTAGGAGAATATTCTTGAAGCCCTTGATAAGAAAACACTTGGAAGAGTTGTGTAGGGAGTTTTGTGAGAGAGCTCAATGACTTAGGCAAAATAATCCCATTTCCAATTGATTAGTTGGAGTGGGAGGTGAAGAATGAGCTTGGTAGCTCAAACCCCCTCAATACGCCCCTTGGGGAACTGTCCCAACCATGGATTCCATGGTGGGATGGTTCCTAGGCTAGAAGCCCATGTGGCAATTAGATTGGGCTGGAAAACCCAACTTTGCACCATTGTATGGTTGCATTTTAGATTGAGTATATTGTAACATTGAACTGGCAGTCTGTAATTGGTTGTAAATCCAACCTTCAATATTCCTTTGGTTGGGTTGGAAAGTTTCCAAACCTTTTGGTTGAAGATTGGAAGTTCCAAACCAGCCTTCTTCTCCAACCCAACCATCAACTTCCCAAAGCACAATTTCCATCGAGATGTTTCTCGACGAATGTTGTAGGGGTGTTAGGTTGTTAGGCAAGAAGTAGGTCAATGCGTTACACTCCTCCCCCCCCCCCCCCCAGGTGGCAACATCCCCGTTGCCCTAGGGTGCTTCTTAGGACGAGCGCTTCGAGCACGGCGCACCACATTACGACTTGGGTCAACCCCATCCACTGGTTGTGGGCCTGCTCGTAGAGCCAGGTCTTCCATATACGCTTGAACCGCTGCTTCGGTCAAGTGTTCCTCAGGCTCCCAAGAGTTGTGTGCCGGCCCATAGCCTTTCCATTTATTAGGAACTCACGCACAGTTTTGCAGCCGCGTTGTCGATCACGGTGCGTTAGCATACGCTCGACTTCATAAAAGAGTTCCTCCTCTAGAACGATGGTTGGTGGTGGTAAGAACTTGCCTTCTGCAATGTACTTATTCAACAGAGACACGTGTAAGACGTTGTGAATCTGCAATGTCGCAGGCAACTTGAGCCTGTATGCGACCTCACCAATTCGCGCAATCACCTCAAAGGGCCCAATCCAACGAGGGAAGAGCTTTCGTGCTCCCGAGATCTTAAGACGAATCTTCTTTGTACTCAGTAATACTTTGTCGCCAACTGCAAAGACGACTTCTCGGCGTTTGGCTTTTGCCTCTACTGGGCAAGCTGCAGCCAATGGCGAGTGGACTTCAGTGCCGCTTGCTGTTTTCCAATAAAGTCCTTTGCGGCTGGGATTTTGAGGTTCTTAATCCCATGCGTCACAGGGGTTGTGGGGTGCCGACCACAGTTCAGGACAAATGGTTTCTCATGCGTGCTTTCATGCACAGAATTGTTCACAGCAAATTCTACGACCGCCAACAATTCATCCCAATTGTCCTGAGTTGGGCTTATGAAAGGACGAAGCATCTGCTCAAGGGTGCAATTGGTCCGCTCTGTCTGTCCATCCGTTTGTGGGTGGAAAGCAGACGACATCTTGAGTTTCGTTCCCAGTGTCTTAATGACCTCTTGCCAGAACTGGCTTGTGAAGTGCGGGTCTCGGTCAGACACCATCACACGAGGCAAACCATGCAAGTGGAAAACGTGCGTCACAAACAACTTTGCCGTATCCTCCGCACGCACGTCAGTCGTCGTGGGCACGAAGTGCACAATTTTGGTCAAGCGATCAACAAACACCAGAATTGCCGTATGACCCTCTCTCGTCTTGGGGAGATCGGTGATGAAATCCATCGATACACTCTCCCAAGGTTCATCAGGAATCTCGAGTGCTTGAAGCAAACCACCAGGCTTCTGTGTGCTTGGCTTGTTCCGTGCACACGTGTCACAGCGAGTTACAAATTGCTGGACCTCAATGCCCAATCTTGGCCACCATTATATATCACAGAGGGCCCACCGGGTTTTCTTGACACCCAAGTGTCCTCCATACTTAGTGGCGTGCACCTCTGCTAGGATATCATTCCGCAGGTTTCCCACATGTGGGACAACAATCTCTTTCTCGTGCCACCAGAGCTCATGCTCCCACAAGAGATCCTTTGTGTTATGTGGATTTTGAAACAAGGGATCAATAATATACCCTGCACGGATGCGTTTCAGAAAACCACCAAAGGCAATCTCGCTCACTCGAGCAATTGCGAGGATGCGGAAACAAGCAGCAGAACACTGCTTTGTGTTCACTATCATCAAAATCCGTTGCTCCACCAATTGGCTGTCGAGCTCGCTCGATATCGAATATCGTAGGTGAACCCACTAAGGAGTTCAGCCCATGGAGCTTGACGCCGGGTGAGTGTAGTTTGCGTGGCAAAGTAGGTGTTCGGGAAGTGGTCGGTCGTGACCACGAAGTCAACACCTTCCAGATAACATCTCCATGTTTGTAGTGCATTCACAACTGCCAACAATTCCTGTTTGGAAGTTGTATAGCGCTGCTCAGCCGGGGAAATCTTTCTACTCTCAAATGCTACGGGGCGTCCTTCTTGCAAAAGAACTGCGCCAATCCATACTGTGGAGGCATCAGTTCCCACCTCGTAGGGCTTGGACGGGTCTGGCAAAGCCAGCACTGGAGCATTGGTCAGCATGGGTTTTACCTCCTCAAATGCCTTCTTGCATTGACCAGTCTACTGCCAAGCATTACCCTTGCAAGGGAGGGCAGTCAGTGGAGCGACCACGGAGGAATAGTTCTCCAAGAAATAGTTCGAAAGTCTAAGAAATGATCTAACCTGCCCCACATCCTGTGAACTGGCCACTGTTGGACTGCTGCCACCTTCTTTGGATCATTTTTTAGGCCATCGTTGCCTACCAAGTGACCAAGGTATCCCAACTCGCATTTGTAGAAGTGACACTTCCACAACCGAGCAAAGAATTTATGCTCTGCAATTTTCCTAACACCCATTTTAGGTGTTGCGTGTGTTCTTCTTCTGTCTTCGAGTAAACGAGGATATCATCCAAGTATACTAGGACGAATTGGCCAATTTCCTCCCAAAACACATCATTCATTGCTCGCTGGAATGACGCGGGAGCATTTGTCAAGCCAAAACTTAACACACGCCATTGAAAATGCCCGAACGGCGTTTGAAAATCCGTTTTAGGAACATCTTCTTCGGTGATGCGCAGCTGATGGTACCCCTGAGCTAAGTCCAGCGCACTGAACCACTGAGCTCCTTGGAGCCGATCGAACAAATCCTCTATCGTTGGTAGAGGGTATCTGTTCTTCACCGTAATCTTGTTCAATGCACGAGAATCTACGCACATGCGTAATCCTCCGCCCTTCTTGATAACGAACAAAATTGGTGCTCTGTAAGGGGACGCACTGGGTTCAGTCCATCCTTTTCTGAGGTACTCCTCGATCTGTTGTTTAGCCTCCTCGTACTCAACTGGACTGAGGCGATATAGAGGTTGAAAGGGTGGATCCTTTCCTGGTTCAACAGGGATGGTATGACGCACTGCACGGTCAGGTGGAAGTCCATCAGGGATGGTTTCAAATACTTCCTTGAATTCCTCTGCCAGAATATGAATTTGAGGAGGGAAATCCTCAATTGCTGGCTCCGATGTCTCGGCATTCTCCAGCTGTACCACGAATAGTGTATCAGCCGATTTAACTAAATGCCCGAACTGGTTGGCCAACACACACAGCGCGCTGGGACGTTCAGGCGTCTGTGTTTCAGTGAGCAAAGTATCATTGACTTGCCACTGGATTGCCTTTCCTTTCTTGGTGAACGAGACAATGTTGTATTGGAAGTACAGTTTGACTTCGTTGGATCGCAACCAATCCATGCCAAGTATGAGGTCGACACCTGACAAAAGTGGTAGGACATACACGCGAATTGTTTCGCTATAGTCTTGTACATTCATGTCGATATGTGTCTGTCCTTTACTTGGAGTGATACGATCGTCACCCAAACGAATGGGACAAGACGGTCCTACAACGACGACGTTGCGTGCCGTAACCCAAGTTTCATCAACAAGGGAAACCGACGCGCTTGTATCGATAAGAATCCTTGCTTCGTCCCCATTCATGCGTCCTGATAACAGTAATTTTTGTTGGAATCTTAGACGAATGGGACAAGCGACAACAAGTTTAGGATGTCGATAGTACACCCTAAATTTGTTGTGAGCACGTCCAGACCTTTGGGAATCGGTCCACCAGACGTGGTGCCCTTTGTCCCATGTTGCCAGGATATGCCAATCGTGAAATCGGCGGAAAAACTCTCCTTTCACGATTCAAGTCACCAATCCCACTGATGTGAGCGGGAGGTCTTGGACACAACAGTCCACAGTATCCATGAGTGGCAACTCATTGAACGAGCAAAAGATGATTAAAAAGTAACTTCTCAAAGATTCAATTGAAATATTTTCTAGTGGGAATGATCGAGCTTTAAAAACAGATTTTTCATCAATAGTAGAGGCATACAAACAACCGATTTTGCATGATGCAAGCTTCTCAAGCTGTAGCAAATCCTCATCACAAAGGACATAAGCCTCATTTACTCGATCCCGCTCACCAACTAGGTACCCACCCCCTAGTTGGGCTTGTGAAAATCCTTAGGACCCTAAGGACCAGAACCATCCAGCTTCTTGCCCTGGTTGCGCTTGCCGGAGTTCTTGACGGACTTCCTCCAACGGCACTGATATGCCTTGTGGCTGAGCTTGCTACAGTAGTGGCAGCCTGCCCGTTGCTTATCAGCATCCTAAGAGTCCTTGGCAGGCC